TCTGTAGATGTTCATTGAAATGAAAAAGAAACAACCTAAATTTAAAAAAAAAAAAAGAAATGTTTGATAAATTTGAATCTCAAAGTGTATGTTCTTGGAAGAAGGGAAGGAATATAAGAGAACTGAAGAGATGTTGTTATTGTCAGGTGCTGTCGGGTTGAGTATGATCCACCATGACCCTATGAACAACAGATTTGAAACCTGTCCTATCCTCACATTATCCTGACGCTCTATCCTGTGCCATCCTCATACTTCTGACACACTCGAACCCACTATGTCAGTCATGTGTCCATCCACCTGGTTGAGGGTCGTCTCCTTCACTGACCCTCCACCTACCTTTCCAAGGAGTAGCCTCTGCTGTAACATGCCCAAAGTATGTGAGATGAAAATGAATAGTAGAATATTCAATACTGAAAACATTTTGACACCAGCTAGATCAAGCAGCATCTATACTGACAATAGAAAGCTGACTCGCACAGTAGGGATATTGTTTTGTTCTTTGTACATACGGTTGCTATGAGTCAAAACAGACTTGGCCAATGGTACCTACGACCAATAACAGCACAGACATGAAAGAAAATGTATGATTAATGATGTGAAAATAGAAACATATGACATAATGTGTGCCAGCTTAGGTAGAAATAATAAAAAAAATCTGAAATTATTAAAGTACATCTCACAATCACATTGGATCAAAACCATGCTGGGACACATTTCAAGCTACTATTCAAAGCACATCTCAGTGCCCCTGTCACTTATACTCTTATTATTTAGTTTGATAGATACTTCATATTTCTGAGTAATGAGGGAAAAGAAGTTAAAAACAAAAATACTAGGTGAGTAGCAATTTTTTATCTAGTAGGAGAAAGTCCGTTGGATTTGCCAGCCTTTAGTAATTTTTTTGGGTGATGAGAGAGTGTTTGTTGAAAACATCTGTGTGATTTTCTCTGAGGGACTGTGTATCTGAAGTAAACAGAGTCTCTTAGTATGATCACTCTACTTCCTCACCTAGAACTATGGTGACTGTTAGTAGATTCCAAACCATGACAAACCCATGTGTGTAGACTAGACACTCCACAGGGTTTTCTGAAGTAGAATGTCTTCCAAGGTGTCTTTGGGTGAGCTAGTAATTGAGCACAATATGCACCAAAGTGACTGAATCATTGATGGCAGAGAAGATTATTCTGATGACCCCTGTAGTCCTTGCCATGGCTCTGCCATGCCGTCCTTACCTCTGGTCTGGCCGGAATCGAGCATCTGTTGGTGGGAGGAGGTCTTTTAGCAGAGGATCTAATTCATTGAGTTCAATAGCAAACCTCGTGAAGCCATAGTAAAGCTCATAGTTGGTTGGCATGGAACCTGGAAGATGACAGATGGACCACTGCTGAGCAACAGAAAGGCTTACAGTACTTGAATAACTGACTTACTCCTGTGTTTTATTAATATCTACAATAGTGGCAAGGCAAATTTGTTTAGTTATCAACATTAGATTACATGTATTTTTCTAGTGAATTACACCAGTTATATTTTGATAGATGGTGAATTTTATGTTAATCCTCAGAACTGATAGATCCCTATATGCAATAAAAAAATGACTGAACTTTACATATATAACAGCTTCATGGGAAAAATGATTCTGTAATTTTTCTTTAAAAAATTCAATAGGCAGGCAAGCTCTGATGGTCGAGTGGCAAGAAGCTGCACTGCAATCCCAGAGGTACACAGTTCGAATCCACCAGATGCTCTGCTGGAGAAGGAGGGACAAACTCCTCCTGTACCAGTCAGTTCCTATTTGACAGTATACACACAAAAATGTAAAAAAATCAATAGGCAGATTAGTTATGAGCATTAAGATTTTTACCATAAACATTCATTATTCACTTCCCTTCAGAAAAGAAAACCGTGGAATATAAATTAGTATCTATTAATATTTTTAAAGGAAATTCTCAATGGCAACATCTTTCCTTGCTTTGCCCATTGATATATCCCAGGTTCTTAGAGCAAAACCCATGGTCAGCAATCAGTAAGTAGTTGCTAAAATGAATGAATGAACCACACAATTAGCAAGATACTGAAGTGCTCATTGATGTTTCTTCGGAAACTAACAACTATTTTAAAGTAAGGGATTAAGTGACAAAATGCCAATGGAAAGAAATGACTTGTAAAACTTGTTCCATTTATATTTTGTAATCAGTTATATGCTAGTATGTTACCAGACTCTTTTGATGTCTTTTATTAAAAGCCAGTATGTTATAGTTACTGCTGCTCAAGTGAAAAGATCACTTTTTATAGCAAGTTATTGAATTTGAAGATTAAAGATGTTTGCAGACTTCCTTTTTTAAAATTAAAACAGAATAAATAGCATGAGGAAGGATTGAAGTTGCATTCCATTTATCAAAATAAATGGCTTAATAAATATACCTAGCTTTTGAGAAACAGGCTGATTTTGTGATTAAAAACAGAAAGATTTTGTAATGGAGGGGGGAAAAATCTGATATGGGGCCAGAAATTTTGTCTACATTTTACAACTTCCTTCTATCTTGTATTAAAAAGTTGGGACTTATGTAACTTTCAGGTTAAGTGTGAATGTGGCTATAGTTGACTTTAAGCACCTGTATTTTTAACTTCACTGTTAAAGAAAGTGTCAGGTGAATTGCACGTGAAGAAGTGACAGTCCCTCCTGGTCCCTCCTCGGGCATGACGCTCAAGCCCATTTTACCTGGTCTCCAGATACACTTTGCAGAAGGGGCCACACCACAGTAGAGCCCCTCATGCCACTTCCCAAACAGCCGGTGGACCACCTTGCCTTCCTGGTCCATCACAACGCCCTGGACTTCATTCACATTAGAATTCCAATAATTCACCTGGAAAAAAAAATCAACCCCTCTTAAGATATCCAATCTCTTTAATGATCCTCACCAACCTCTATACCTTCCATATGGGAAATTTGCTTACTATTGCATTTATTCATTCAAGTCATTTCAAGAAACCAGTCTTAAATTTGGTGGTTTTTGCTTTTTAATACAATGGTGACTTTCTAAGTGTGGGAGAGAGGAACTTTTTTTTAATTTTAACTTAGTTTATTTTTCATTTCAATGAACATCTACAGAGATTTTGGAATTCCATTAATTCATTGTTGCACCCTTCTCCCCGCACACACCCCTCCCCCCTCCCCCCCCATTTGCTCCTCTCCTTGAAAAGCAAAAGAAAAACTCCCTCATTGGTACACAATCCCCCCGCACCTCTCCAAACCCCACCCCCTACCCCCAAATATAATCCACTCTGCAACTCTCATTGCATACTCCTACGATAAAAATAATGCCCTAAAATATAATACTTTTAGACTATTCTCTCCCCCATAGACTTCAATGCCATAAACATATTTCATCCAGTTTTTCTCAGTCTTACCCCCACCCCAATGCCAGCCTCATTCTACAACAGTGGCACCATATAGCAATTGTCCCTTTGTGACTGAGATACCTCACTCAGCATAATGTCCTCCAGGGTCACCCATTTTGAATAATATTGCATGAGTTCCTTGATTTTCAATGCAGCATAGTATTCCATTGTGTGAATATACCACAGCTTCTCTACCCATTTGTTTGTTGATGGGAATTTAGGTTGTTTCCAACTCCTTGCTATTGTAAACAAAGCCGCGATAAACATGGGTATACATATATCTACTTGGATGTCATTTATGGTCTCTTTAGGGTATATTCCCAGTAGTGGAATTGCTGGGTCAAATGGTATCTTTATTTGCAACTTTTTGAGAAAGCGCCACAATGCTTTCCACAGTGGTTGCACCATTTTACACTCCCACCAACAGTGAATAAGGGTTCCAGTCTCTCCACAACCTCGTCAGCATTTGTTGCTTGCTGTTCTGTTAAATTTTGCTAGTCTTACTGGAGAGAGATGATATCTCATGGTTGTCTTGATTTGCATCGAGAGAGGAACTTTTAAGAAAAGAGTAGTTATCATATAACTATCTCTATGTTATCACAATTAAGTAAAATAAAAACATGCTCACTATCTATTCTAGAAATTTAAAGTGTTGTTGTGTTGGGTGCCACTGAGTCAGCTCTGACTAACAGTGATCTAATGTACAACAGAAGAAAACACTACCTGATTCTGGAGCTTCCTGACAGGCGCTGCTGCTATACTTATGCCTACAGGTTTAGCCAGTGTGTTAATCCTTCTCACTGAAGATTTTCCTCTTAAGGAGAATTCTAGCTTCCTTCTAAGACCAATCTGTGTGTTCTTTTGGTTGTTGTTAGGTGCTGTTGTGTTGTGTATAACTCCATAGTGATCCTATGAACAGCCAACCTGAAACTTGCCACCCTTTTCTGTTCCGAGACATTAGAGCCCACAGCTGAAGTCACAATGTCAATCCATTTTGTTGAGGGTCTTCCTCTCCTTCGCTAACCCTCCATCTTTCCAAGCATGATACCCCTTTCCAAGGAATATCCTATGTGTAGCCATAATTGGTTTTAAGCACCTATAGCCTAGCTACATGTCCAACGTATGAAAGATGAAGCTTGGTCATCCCTGCCTCCAAGGAGCACTCTGGGCACACACTTCCCTGGACATGTTTGTTCTTTGGCAATCCCTGGGGTATTCAGTACTCTTCTTCAGCATTACAACTCAAAGACATTAATTCTTCTTCTGTCATATTTATTCAATATTCCAGTCTCTGATGCATAGCAGGTGACTGAGAAGGCCATGGCCTGAATCAGGTGCACATTAGTCTTCAAACTGACATCATGGCTCTTCAGTATTCTGGACAGGTCCCTATCAGCAAACTTGCCCGATGCAATATATCTCCTGATTTCCTGACTGCTGGTATACCAAGGGCGTGACTGTTGATATAGTTGACATTCTTCATCTACATCACGACTCACAGGCATTGATTCTTCTTCTGTGTTCTTTACTCATTGTCCAACTTTTACAGTGTATGAGGTCACTGAAAATACTCTGCCTTATGTTGTTAGATACCTAAATCTTCAAAGTGACAACCCTGGTAAATTACAGGCTGGTAATCTCTGCTTCAGATCTTATCACTTTTTATTTTCCCTTTGCTTGTGGATTCTTATGAGTTTCAACTGGAAGTTCTGAAGAAGCATTTGTGAAATAATTTTCACAGTAGTAAATGGTTAATTTTATTATGAGGATCCTGTTTTTGCTCTCTTCCATCCTTCTCCCTCCCAAAGGATAAGAAGTATGTGATAACCTATCTATATGAAGCCCAAACCCCCCTCCCCCTTCTAGATCAAGCCCCAAGTATCTAGGGCTCTAGAAGCATCGTCCAAATGGCTGAGTTTATTCCACAACCTCTACAGGCCTCTTCCCTGGATTCATTCACCACAGGGCAGACCACTCGCCAGTATGTGTAATTTTAGGTCTGACAGATGATCAGACCAGTTACATTAAGAGGTAACTGTAGAGTGTGGATTCAGCTTAGATGTGTGGTCAGGCTACGTGTGTGTGTGTGTGTGATGCTCCTTGAAATACAGACAAAGCTCAAGGTTGGAAGAAAGCAAGGAAGACCAGGGCCTCTCTCATTCACAACGATTCCAACACAGAGCTCTGAAAGGTCCAATATGGCCTTGCAGCTTGTACTAAAAGGCATTATTTGTCAAAATCAACGGGAAGAACATATGGTCCTTGACATTTTGTAGGCTTAATTAATAGCTCTTAAATATACAGACATATGGTATAGGAACTTTCATTTATACTTTTATCCTAGGTTCTGCAAATGTTAATGGCAAGCTTAAAAGTTCTCACAGGTATATAACCAAATGCACACTTGTACTCCTACCACCAAATCAGAGATTAATCATGGGCCTAGACATTTATTTCTGAGCCACAAAATGAATGTGTAAGAAAGAACATCTCAAGCTAAGCTAAAGATACTAAATTAGAACCACTATGATATTTCAAGATGGTGTAAATGCTTTTAATTGTAAGACTCCAACGTTACCTGTTTATCATATGAAAATGTGATTGTTTTCAAGAGAACTTTTGAGGTCTGCTCTCAAAATCTTGGTGAATCACAACGAATTGTATAAAACTTTAGCACAAGCTAACAAAAAATGTTATCTGTGCAGATTTCAATCCCAAATATATATTTTTTTTAAATAAAGGTAATGTTTTTTTGCCGGACTTACTTGGACTACAACAATGGTACAGATGGATAAGGTTTCTGATAACCGAATAGCAATCTCTACATGACAGCTGACTTATACTTGACAAAAATTATCAGGAAATGACAATTACGTGATAATTTTGTTGTTGTTAGGTGCTGTAGAGTTGACTACAACTCATAGTGACCTATGAGCGAGAGATCAGAACTCTGCCCTATCCTGTTCTGTCCTCGTCATCTCTGCCTTGAGATGAGTTAAGGCCACTGTGTCAACCCCCCTTGTTAAGATTCTTCACCCTCTTTGCTGGTCCTCCACTTTCCTAAGCATGATACCCTTATTCCAAGGACTGATCTTCCCTAAGGACTGGCCTTTTCCAGACTCAGCTATTTAAATGTTTTACATTCTTTCCCCATGAAGTATTGTTTTATATAATTTACCTTGACAAATGTGAGTTTGCAAATGCAAACACTGCTTTTGGTATTTCTAATGGTGATTTCTCCGTAATGCTCTATCCATCTCCTTCCACTGAGAATGTTGTGTATGCACGTGGTGACTTTATTCCACACATAGCAATCTCCGTATCTGATGATGAACAAAGTATGTTAACAATGGTTAAAAACAGAGGTCTCAAATATGTTCTTCTGCTTATAATAATGAGAATATTCTTTCATAAGAGTATTTGTTTTCTTTATTTTTCCGCTTGGTATGTAAACACAAATATTTATGATTAATTACTTAATTCAAGGAAGACTTTCTAGAGGAGGTGAGGTTTGGTCTAAATTTTGGAGGACTGAATAGAAGGATAGTATGAGCTGAGGCAAAACATCAAAAGAAAGCACAGCAGACCGAAGGGCATGCCAGGTCTGGCGACCTGTGTTACAGGTAGTGGGTTTCAGGTATGTGAGTGTGGCAGGTGTCAAGGCTGGACAGGTGTGCTAAGGTACAGCAGTGAAAGTTTAGATGGATAGCAAGAAGTCTGCAATTATCTTGTAAGCAACGGGGCACTGTGGATGGATTCAAGGTAGAAGAGAGCCATGTGAAAGTGTGCTTTTAAGAGAAATTACTCTGAGAACACAGTATTTCAAGAGCAGAATTTAGTATTTTGGAAAGAACTGACTAGTATAATGAAATGGCACAGATCTAATGCAAATTCAAGGGAGTCAGGTTATGAGAATTTCTGCCAAGGAATAAGATGACGGCTTCAAATCAGTCATGTGTATGCACATTATGTTTCTTTTCAAAGAAAGAAAATGCTTCTACAGCTTTACTAAATTAAAGAGTTGGTAGACACAGGTATTTTACACACACACACACACACACACACACACACCCGGGAAATAGTATTTTTAAATCTACAAATATTTACAGTTTATTTTGCTGTTCCTGGGGATACCCTCCCTTACCTTCCTCCACCAACTAACCAGCAAATTGTGTGATTTAAGTAGACAAAACCAAACAACTGATAAACAAAAAAAACCCAAGCAAACATATAACTTTCAACCTGAAAAAACTCCCTAACTTTGAAAAACACAATTAATTTTAAGACTATTATATATTTTTTCAAAATGACAACTATAAAAGAACCCAACCTTCTTCTTAACAAAGTGACAGAAATTTGAGGGGACATAAATTCCCTGGATCGAAGATGAACTCCAGCTTGAAATTACAAACTGTATGGAAAAGAAGCAACTGAGAAAGAAAATGTTTCCCATAAAATGCAAATGAGCACAGTGACTGGGACATGATAGATACTTGCTGTTGACTGACGAATGTGGCGGTGACTAGACAGGGGGCTCAGATTCAGATGCTAAGGTTTTCATTAATTTTTGGAGTCCATTCTCAAAACCTTGGTGAAGGTAACAGACACGCTGGGCATACAGACAAATGAACCCTTGTCCCATTGGACAGCATCATACTGAGTGAACTCAGTCTCATAAGGACAAATACTGCATACAACAATTAGTGTAAAAATAGAAGGATAACTAGTAAAACATGTATTCAAGGAGATTCAAGGTGGGAAGGGGGGAAGCAGAGAGGTGAGGATGGGTAGTGGTGAAATTACAGAGATGCACAATTTGGTAGGTGGAAGGAGGGGCTAGAGGAAATGGGAAAGATCTGGTGGGGACCTGAAAAGACAGGTTAATGGTGCATAGTCCACTGGGGATTAATTTTACAAAATATAATGAATATAATGATGGTATGAAAAGCAATGTGAATGAAGAATAGCATGGAACACAAAGTATACAAACTTAAGCAAACCAACATAAAATAAAAATTAAAAAAATATTTAACTTTTCCTTTCTGATTTAGAAAATCAGGTTAGAACCCCAAGGAGGATGAGAAGAACCTACTTTGGAAGCATAACATTCAGTGTTCCAATGGGCAGGATTTCCATTGACTTCCCCCAGAACTTGTTTTTCCATCTGATATCTAAACAAAACAGGCAGAGGACAAGAAACATATACTCCACATCTAATAATCTGTCCATAAAAACCAACTTTTGTATCATACTTTATCTTTACAGTGCACTTTTGGAATCAGAAGTGAGACTATATTGTTTGAATTATATTAAAATGACAAGAGTCTGAAGGTGGCCCAACATGAAGATAGGAACTGTGGAGGAAAAAACTGAGGATATGTATTTCTCCGTACCTATAACATACCCCACATTTGTTATCAAACAATAAAATTGACAACAGCCTAGAGTAATTTGTGTGTGTGTGCACTAACATATACCTAACAGACTATACTAGGCTTTAATGTACAGATAGAAATATATATACATTTGGGGACCTCCGGTGACTTAGTGGTAAGAAGTTGGGCTGGCAACCCAAAGGCTCATGGTTTGAATCCACCAATTGCTAAATAGGAGAAAGATAGGAAATCTCTTTCCGTGCAATTTACTATTTCTGAAAACCAGCTAGAGGATCAAGTACGAGTCAGTTTAGATTCAGCAGTATACGACAACACAAATAATACACACTTTAAATTTTAAAAAAAGGAAAATTGTTAGCTTATGTTAAATATCAGGTAAACAGGAAAAATAATCCTACTATAGTAATATATAATAATTTATATACACCTTTCCTCCTCAATATTGAAGAGTTATATGATTTGGCAGAAAAGTAAGACAAAATAAAAAAAAATCTCAAAATACAGAGATACAAAATTCATGGAAAAACTAGGATTAACATAATGAGTGTGCTCCTATGCTAGCTGTAAAGACACAAATCAAAGCCAAGTACTTTTCACACACTGATTTTACACTTTACTCTTAGAAACAAAAGCCCGTGCATTTTTAACTGCCTCGTCTCATTTTGGAGCTCTGGTGGCCTAGTTGGCAAGCAGTAGTGCTGTCCAATCCGAGGCTGGCAGTTCAAATCCACCAGCTGCTTTGAGAGAGAAAGATGGGCAAGCTCCTCCCACATAATTTACAGCCTCTGAAAACCTCCTGGAGGATCAGCTATGAGTAGATTCCAACTTGATCGTAATGAGTTTGAGTTTTGAGGTCCCATTTTGATGAACTAAGAGAGCTTAATTCTGTCTCCACAAAATTTCTGAATCTTTCTCATAATCAAGAAATGATTTAAACTTACTATCTCATTATCTGACATTTCACATTTATGACAAAGTAAAACATCTCTCCTCTTATTCTGTACATTATCACAAATATCTGGCAGTAGCGAATGCTGAGGTACAAGACGGAAGTAATGTTGGCTATGATAGTTAAGCTCATGCATCAACATTGCTTGACTATGATTCTCAATGGTTTAACAACTATGTAATGATGTAATTTAGCATTTACATAATGCATTTTGGCAGTTATGTTAGGATGCTGTAATTCACTTTGTGATCTGATGTGTTCGATCTCCATTTTTGTGTAACACTGATTTTTGCATACACACCTTTAGAGCCAAACTCTGCTGATAAATGAGAATTAGATGCACTTCACTATTTAGCAATAAGGTATGATTATGGTGTTCTATCACTCATCGTGCTTTTAGGTTGAAGAGATTCATGAGAAGTGTTGTTTCAAGCATTGAAACACCCTTTAAATGAAGGTATATAATGGGTAAGATGACTTTTTCCTTTCCAGAAATGGCTTTATAACTTTTTGATTTTATGGAAGTTTTTAATATTTGACTGAGAAATGGGTGTTATTTAATTCATGCGTGAAGGATCAAGGAGTAAAAGATCAGAAGCTACTGAAATGTTTATAAATCCAAATGGACTGTGACCAGTGATGATATTCTATATTCTTTCTCTTTGTACACCCACAAAGCGAGATGGTAACCTATACAACCTCCAGACAATGAGGCCCAGCAACAGCCCTGATGTCAGCATGGACCTCAGCTGCTCAAGAAGCTCTGCTCCTGGATGGGCAATTTCATCACTTATTTGCAGTCACGTACTTCAGCCAGGAAATTTAACTCAGAACAAACTGCTAATATTCCCTAAGCTCAAGAAGTAAACATATAAAGAGAGTACTTTAAAACGGAGAACATTTTTCATAGGCTCATAAAGTTGATCTGGAATACAAACCTTGCCAGAACACGAAGTTCTTTGATTCACAGTGACAGGCAGAAATGGGTGGGTGATGGCTAACCTGGTAATTAAAAACAAAGAAGGCAACTGACATCAGTTAAAACTGTCACAACATAACGTTTTACACATTTATTGACTTCCTTAAAATACAAACACGCAGTTCATCCATCTATATTATTATATTATGCTTAAAAGAACATTGTGTACCGTAGAGTTGAACCAACCATAACTGACCCCTCGGTGGGTTTTCAGAGGCAGCTAATAACACAGGAAGAGAATGTCCATCCTTCTCCCACAGAGTGGCTAGTGGCCTTGAACCATGTGGTTTCATGACTGCAGCACAGCTTCTTGCCACTAGGCCACCAGAGAGAGCCCCCCCCAATATATGTGCTATTAAATCTTTCATATTTAAAATGCTATGCCTAAATGGAGAACTTATGTTTAGGCAGATTAGCTAAGTGAGTTTTCTGATACATGGTAATAAAACTTTGTTTAAAACAGATGGCTCCTTTCTACTATAAAGAGACTTCACATGGTCCAATGGGACTTACCTGTTCTGAGAAAAATCGGAATCCCTTATCTTCTCTAATGCATTCATAAGTCTCCCCAAGGACAGGGTTGAATGGCTTACTTCCTGCTCTGAAATAGGTGGAGCAATATCCTGAAACTGCAAATGCAGCAATAAGAACCTGTTAAAACATTTAAGAAAGGAAAAGAATAATATGTTGTTGTTAGGGGCCATCGAGTCGGTTCTGACTCACAGCAACTCTATGTAAAATGTGACAAAGTACCCCCAGACCTGCCCATTCTCACAAGCCTTGTTTTGTTGAAGCTACTGTGTCAATCCATCGGTTTCAGAGTCTTCTTTTTACTCTGACTTTAACAAGTATCATTTCCTTCCCCAAGGACTGGTCTTTCTTAATAACATGCTCAAAGTAGCTGAGATGGAGTTGTGCCATCCTCTTCCCAAGGAGCATTCTGGTTATACTTTTAAAACAGATTTGTTTGCTAACCTGGCAGTTCACAGTGCAGCCAATATTCTTTGCCAAGCCCATAATTAAAATCTGTCAATTCTTCTTTGACCTTCCTTCATTTATTTCCTTTATGTTGAGCTGTCACTCACACTTAAGACTACATAGTCTCTGAGTGTCATTATTCAGTGCCACAGGTTGTCTTCCTTTCCTGCAAGCAAGGTTGTATCATCTGCATAGCTCAGGTTGTGAATGAATCTTCTTCTAATCTCGAGGCCACATTCTTTTTCATATAATCCAGCTTCTTGAATTTTTTGTTCAGTATACAGATAGTATAAGAATGATGAAAGAATACAACACACCTTTTCTGATTTCACAGTACATTCTGTTTGAGTGACTGCTTCTTGCTCTACACATAGGTTCTGCACGATCATAACGAAGTGATCTGCCCCTACTCTTTGAAATATTATCCATAGTCTGTTATAATCCACAGTCAAGTGTTCTTGCATAGTCAATAAAGCATAGATCAACATCTTCGGGGCATTGTCTGTTTTCATTATCAGCAGTAATATCCCTTGTTCCTCATCCTCTTCTGATTCAGCTTGACTTTCTGGCAGTACCTCTTCATGTATACCTGTAACTTTCCTGAATTATCTTCAACAAACTTGCATGAGATATTAATTATAGTGTTAGGAAATTAAAAATTTGGTTGAATCTTTTTTTTTAAATGAACACACAGATTTCTTGTAGTTAGTTGGTCAGTTATTCAAATTTCTTGGCACATGCAAATTACACTTCTAGCATTGTGTTACTGTGTTGAAATGCCTCAAATTATCTTCTATCAATTTATGAAGCCTTGGGTTTTTTAGATAATACCTTTAGAATAACTTAGACTTCTTCCTCAAATATCCTTAGTTCTTTGACATATTTTATTTCCTGAAATGGTTGAATTCAGACCAATTCTATTCGGCACAGTGACTGTATTCTTTCTGTCTTCCCTTGATGCTTCCTGCAGCGTTCTGTATCCTGCTCGTAGTATCCTTCAATATTGCAAACCAGGGCTTGAATTTTCTGTTCACTTTCTTTCAGATTGAGAAATGTCAAGTTAACTCCAAGTATTTGAACATTTCATTAAAATACTTTTGTCTTCTCAAGCTGCCCTTTGAAATAGACTGCTCAGTTCTTTCATGCTATCATTTTCTCCATTCATTTTAGCTACTACTCTCCATTCAAGTTTCAGTATCTTCTGACAATCATTTTGATCTTTCCCTTATTTGTTGTCTTTTTTGTTTATTTTTTTCTTCTTTTTTATATCTTTTTTTAAAATTAATTTCAATGAACATTTACAGAGATTTTGGATTTCCATTCATTGTTGCACTTTTCTCCTCGCCCACCACACCCCCAACCCCAGTTCATTCTTCTCCTTGAAAAGCAAAAAAACCCCTCCTTCATTGGTATACAATCCCCCCGCACTCCCACTCCGAATATACTCCACTCTGCAACCCTCATTCCAAAGTCTTTTGATAATCATAATGCCCTAAAATAAATTACTTTTAAACTGTTCTCTCCTTCATTGGCTTCAATGCAGTATACATAATTTATCCATTCTTTCTTAGTCTTACCCCCACCTTGATGTCAGCCTCATTCTACAACAGTGGTACCGTATAATATATTTGTCCTTTTGTGACTGAGATATTTCACTCAGCATAATGTCCTCCAGGGTCACCCATTTTGAATAATACTGCATAAGTTCCTTGTTTTTCAATGTAGCATAGTATTCCATTGTGTGAATATACCACAGCTTCTCTATCCATTCATTTGTTGATGGGCACTTAGGTTGTTTCCAACTCCTTGCTGTTGTGAACAAAGCTGCAATAAACATGGGTGTTCATGTATCTGCTTGGATGTTGGTTATGGTCTCTTTGGGGTATATTCCCAGTAGTGGAATTGCTGGGTCAAATGGTATCTCTATTTGCAACTTTTTGAGAAAGCACCGCACCTCTTTCCATAGTGGTTGCACCATTTTACACTCTCACCAACAGTCAATAAGGGTTCCAATTTCTCCACAACCTCGCCAGTATTTGTTGCTTGCTGTTCTGTTAAATTTTGCTAGTTTTACTGGGGTGAGGAGATCTTTCGGTATTCTTTACTTTCAGCCAGAATCCATCTGACATCAGCAAGGATATCCCTGGTGCCACGACCTCTTAACATTGAGAAGAATAGGAATTCCAGAGCACTTAGTTGTTCTCATGTGAAACCTAAACATCGACCAGGAGGCTGTTGTATAAACAAAGTGAGGGAACACTGTTGTTATGTACCATTGAGTCTCTTGCGACTCATAGTGACCTGAAACCTGCTCTATCCTGTGCCAACTTTATTGTCTCTGACACACCGACCCTCATTACCCTAGTCACTGTCTTTATTGTTTAATGAACTTTTTCTTCCCTGATTGCTGTTACCAATGTTGTTGATTGTGGATTCAGGTAAAATGAACTCATTGATAGATTCTATCTTTTCTCTATCTATCTTGATGTTGCCTCCTGGACTATTGGTGAGGATTTTTGTTTCCTTGATTTTGAGATGTAATCTTTACTGAGGACTGTAGTCCTTGTGCTTCTGCAGCAAACACTTCATGTCCTCCTCATTTTTCAGCAAGCAAAGCTGTGTCATCTGCATAATGCAGGTTGTTTATGAGTTTTCTTCCAATTCTGATGCCACATTCTTCTTCATAAAGTCCATCTTCTCAAATACTTTGCTCAGCATACAGCCCGAATACTTTTGAAGAAAGTATCCAGTCTTTCTGCACACCTATTACTGATTCAAAGTCATGTGATGTTCCCTTGTTCTATTTACCCAAGAGCTTCTTGGTCTAAGGACAAGTGTTGCATGAGTACAAACAAGCGTTCAGGGTTTCCCATTCTTCTCAACATTAGCCATAATTTGCTGTAAGTCAAGGGAAATTATTTTCTCAAACCAAAGTTCCAAAACATATGTTCTATCTCGACACTCAGGAAAAGCTGGTAAGAGTGAGGCTAACCAGTTCCTAGCAAGCTGACTCTGATTCAAGGCGAACCCATGTGTGTCAGGAAAGAACTGGGCATCACAAGGTCTTCAATGGTTGACTCTTCTGGAAGCAGGTGGACATGGCTTTCTTTTGAGGTTCCTCTGAGCAAATCTGAATCTCTTTCAGTTAGCAGTGGAGTGTATTAATCACGTCTAACACCCAGAGCGATGTCAAAGCAAGACTAAGCATACATTTCTTAAATCCAAAATGAATATTATCCCTTTATGTGAAACTTTAGAAACCTTCAAACCAGAGTTAAAGAAAACAGGGTATCTCAAACTTTTTGATCATAATCAACTTATGCAAATGAACTTTCTGACCTAAACAATAAGAATGTTATGCAGAAATCATGTCGTCAAATCTATCAAAACGAATTCTGGTATAGCCTGGTCTAGAGTTGAAATGTCCCCGAAGGACACTGTTCTACAGTCTAAGTTTATTACCATGCGCTCATAGGGGTCATCGGTTTCCGAGGCCTTGTCCAGGAGCTCACTGTATTCTATCTCCTCACAGAGATGCTGTAGAGTATTGAGGGGTTCATTTAACTCCACAGGCATAGAGACTTTCGATAGGTCTTTACCAATGTTGTTTCTTAAAATATTCCACAGGTTGATATTACTGGTGTCAGGACAAGGAGCTGGGAGGCACGTCCGGCGTCCGTTTCGGAAAGCCCCTCCTGTGAGCTCCCCGTTGAGGACTGGAGAAGGATGAGAATCACAATGAGAAACAAGGAAGCAAACAAAAATATCTCTACTTTCTTATTTCATAAGATCCAGAAGAGAATAACACTTTCCACATAGAGTACATTTTTCAAGCCTCCATCACACTTTCAAGAATAAACCAAATGATTACAAGTTTGCTAACATACATACAAATACCAGTTTAAAGTTCTAAAATCAAGATTTTAAGTATCTTTATTTAAGAAATGGTAAATTAAAAACATTTATTTAAGATGGATGAAACATTTGTTCTGAGCAAAAATTAAAACTCTTTGCTCTTAACCAACATTCACCTAACATCATTTATCAAGCACCACAGAATTCACAAATACACAATCGATTGCCCAACCAGTTGCAAACAGAACAATAAGAGGAGAGAAAATGACATCATTACATCATCAGAGTTATACTTCATATATTAATAGAACAATGTGAGCTCAAACGATGCATACTTTGTCTAGAAATGTTGTCTGCAACACTGGTGTTGTCTTCAGATATATTATCACTCACATCACTGATGTAAGACTCATCATCTGAAGCCTAAGAAAGAAAAGGTAACAGAAGGAATCAGAATTCTCATTCAGTCTTGAAAGCTCAGATAAGACTTAGAAAGAAGAAATTATAACTATTCTTCACTTACCAATTACCTTATCTAACACTTTGCATTTTTGACATTTGTAAAAATGTACTATGTGACTATTTTGTGCATTAACTATGCTCCTCTGGCAGTAACAAACACCAGGGTATGAGAGGAGAACAATGCTGGATGTAATGGTTAAAGCTATGATTGGACCAAAATTCCGAGTGGTTTGGCAGTCATGCAATCATCTTCCAGTCTGTGATTTGAGGTGATCATCTTTCATTTTCTGTAATGCCTCATTCTGCTTAACAACCTAGTCTTTGGAATAAACCCACATCAGTAACTAAGGAGTGTGTGCGTGTGCTCGCGCTCGCGCTCTCTCTCTCTCAACACTTGAAATTCTTCTATAAAGCCACGGTATATAATTTGCTAGAGTACAGCCTTTGTCTTCAAGAAGCTTGCACTGTATCTTGTCTGGGAAGGCCAGTACAGAAACAAAACATTAAATACAATAAGAATGTACACAAAGGAAGGTCCCATGATGTTACTAGGAGTCAGAGGAGGCTGACAAGAGGAGAGAACATTTGTACTGGGGGCTGGAGAGGGAATATGTTTCCCAGTTGTCAGGGGAGACACAGAAGAAAGAAAGTGTACAAAGAAGAGGACCACAGTTGTTATGAGTTGGAATTGACTCTTGCTTGACCCTCCAGCGGGCTTTCAGAGACTAGAAATTGCATGTGAGAAGACTTCCCATCTTTCTCCCAAGGAAAGGCTCATGGCTGGTGCCACCTTTGGGGTGGCAGCGTAACTCTTACTACTTGGCCACCAGAGCTCTATTCCAGGAATGCCGAGAAGTTCAGAGTGGCTTTGCAAGAACAAGAGAGAACCATGAAGATTTTACATATAACTGTATAAATGCAAACTCCCTATTTCAAAACAATAAAAAACATGAAGGAAAAGAAAGAATTTGATTAGTTTTCAGGAGAATAGTTGGCAACAAAGAAAAAACTAGTAGGGAAAAAGTTTCCAGTGTTATCTGGAAGGCAGATAATAGGATACAGTAGAGAAGTCATTATGAAATCCTGACAGCTTACATTAAGATGGCAGCACTGAGACTAGAGGAGGGGAAGAGAGTGAAGCTGAATGCAGAAGCCACATCTGAAGCACAACAGACAAAACCTGACAGTTAATTTGGGGATGAAGGGGAGGAATTTAGGGACAGGAAGAAATCAAGAACAAAGTCTCTCCATGTGAGGTTCGTATTTGAGGAAGATGAGAGACTAACATGGAATAAGAATTTGTAAGAAAATAAGATACAAGGACCATGTGTGTCCTAAGAGGTGTCAGGAAAGTGACTGGAAAGTGCAGAAGACAGAGCCACACAGGGAGAAATGGTAACACCGATGGCTCTACTGTAGCCAAGGGCCCTGCTGATGTCACTTTCTCCAAAATAGAAAGAACGTGCTTTTTTTTTTTTTTAAGTGTAACACCAAAACATTAGAAATTATGTAAGGGTATAAAGATGAACACAAAAATCACTCATAATCTGATCAAAAGCACTTAGAACATTTTGGTTGGTATTATTCCCCAATTTTAAAATGTTAATACATACAGACAGCTACATCTGTCTAAATCTACTAAAAATGAGGATCAGTCTACATATTGTCTTAGAGCATTCTGATTATGTTCTCATAAAAAATAAAGGCAGCACTCCTGTTTATTGAGATTGGCAACATATATCATTACATAGTTACAACACAAGACATTTATGAAGCTTCTCAAAGAGGGATAAATAGATGCTTTCCAACTTTTTATTAATAGAAACAACACTTAGATGAACACCCTTATAAATGTATTTTTGTGCATCTGTTTGATGATTTTATGAAGAGTTATCATAGGAGAGAAGCATACAAAAACAGTCATCTCTTCAAGCACATCTGATCACTGTACATCATTCATTTTTAAAAATAAGGAAGCATGCTTTCAACGCAAAGACACATGGTTCGAATCTACCAACTGCTCTGCAGGAGAAAGATGGGCAATCTGCTCCTGTGTGATTTACAGCCTCAGCTTTAAGTCTATTTCAACTTAATGGTACATAATCGTGAAAAACCCATAAAAAGGTTTCTTTTTATCATTTTAATTTCAGCTTTCATGAATTTCCTTTTCATTGTCTTTGACATGTTTTGAAACTTGAGAAGTCTTAACTTTACTATGTCAATTTTTTTATTTCAATGAAAAAGCATCATAATTGTTTAATGCAAAAACATATAAAGTCAGTCTGCCTTGAAGTTTTCTAGATTTATTACTGATATTCTTCAAATTAGAGTAGTGAAGAGTTGATACACACAAGGAAAAAAAACACAAATGACCTACTGACTATATGAACTAATAAATAATGGAAATTTGACTTCTGCACAGTGAGCTGGGTCTCAGAAGTCTATAGACAGGACAAAATGAACTCAAACTCTTTCTCTGCCACCTGTGTGGTGCTGGAGAAGAGTACTGAATATTTCATCGACTATCAGATGAACAGATATGTGCAGCCAGAGTGCTCCTTGAAGGCAAAGATTTTATAAAGCCTTGTCTCACATACTTTGGGCATGTTGCTGGAGAGGCTATTCCTTGGAGACGGACATCATGCTCGGGAAGGTGGAGGGTTAGAAAAAGACAGGAGGACCCCCAACAAGATGGACTGACATTGAGACTACAGCAATTGGCTCAAGGGTATCAGAGATGATGAGGATGGTACCGGACAGGACAGGATTCAGTTCTGTTGTTCATAGGGTCACTATTTGCGACTTGATGACACCTAATAACAAAAACAGCAACATTTTCCTACAACAGCTTCTTGTATGCCATCTCCAGTCAGTTTTCAGAGGCTGTGAATTCTTTAGTAGATTGCCTATCTTCTTCCCATGGAGCAGCTGATGGATTTAAGCACCTGCTGTTGGGCGCGCAGAACAATTCCTTACTAGATCTAGTCAAAGGATAGTCTTGTTGGTCCCAGTAACTTTGACAGAGTTAAAAGTAAAAACTATCAGACTCACAAAAAACAGCCTTGTTATATTTGATTAGATAAGTAAGTAACTCTAAGAGATTGCCCTGCAAAAGCTAAGAGGAGTCCATTATGTTAGAGGAGACAAAGCCCTTGCCCATACCAAGTTCATGTCATATGAATGTTTATTGTTTGAGCATGTATTAGGAAAATATTCAAGTTCATCCTATAAGAATCTCTCAAATGTAGCATGAAGATGATCTGATATTCACAGGTATAAAAAATAATTCTAATATGACAGGGAGTAATAAGATCAATATAGATCATATATGTACATGCAGCTGCTAAGGTCAGGAAGCCTTGCTGTGGTCCTCTCATTATCCTACATATAAAATCAAGACTCTGCAGTCCCAAACAACAGAACGACTGGTGTACATCATTTGTTTTCCCCTCACAGTCAACATGTCCTGATGTCAAATACTGCTCTTAAAGTGTAAGGATTTAAGAGTTATAGAAATGTTTGCGTTTGGTTCTCCACGCCCCAAATAAAACAAGGCATGCATCACTGCAGAAACATGTTTAAATGCAGAGGCAATGCATGTAGATACTTTTGGAAGCAAGGCTTGTTGTTTTTGTTTTTAAGGCTGAGCACTCCTTAAGCGAACTGTATTGGCAGATACCACACAAGGAAACTTTTCTGTTGTACACAATGTCGATTTAAGACAGTTAACGTTCACATTATTTCTAAGCATAAACATGTCAATGTGCTATTCTTCCTCCTTCAAGTAGTCTTTATTCACTCTCTGTTCTATATTTACCAGGACTGTTTTAGGGCTGGCAACACAGAGCTGAACAAATCTCTTTCCTCATGGAACTTACCTTTTAATGAGAGAGAAACAGAACAAGTATATTTAATATGTGAAATAGGTATTTTGCTAGTGCTAAGAAATAGAGAAAAAAAAAGAGGGATAGGAAATACAAGGAGATTGTAAGGAAGAACCTGGTCCAGTCACTAACTAGCTAGTTAATCTTTCTAAATCTTAACTTCCTCATTGTTTAAATTGGAAAAATAACTACCTATCTTCCCAAGTTAACATGAGAATTAAATGAGGTAAAGGCATGAGATTGTATTAAATTTTATGGCTGTTAGCAAGGATTATTGGAGTAAATTAATGAGTCTAATAGGGATTCTGACACTATTCAATCTTCATTCCATTCCTTGAAGTGCTTTTGGGAAAGTGGTGTTTGCTATTTGGTTGTTGTTTGGTTTTTTTTTTTTTAAATAATGGCTGAGCTTAGAATATGGTGACGTTAAACATATCTAGATAGATAATGTGGGAAAGAGATGGGAAATCTCCTATGCCGTCTATATACAGTCTTTGAAAATCCACTGGTGGGTCAAGTATGAGTTGGTTCTGACTCAATGGCAATTAGTGAGTGAGATAACAAGGAGCTCTGGTGGCATAGTTCATAGGGAGCTGGGCTGTTAACCCAGAGCCCACAGCTCTCTGGTCTGCATCCAACAGCAGCTCTGAGGAACGAAGATGGGCAATCTCCTCTCATGAGATTTACAGTCTCAAAAACTGAGTGGAGGGTCAGCTATGAGTTGGTTCCAATTTGATGGCAATGAAACAGATAGATGACAGATAGATATAGAGGCCTAGTGGCAAGATGGCACATAACAACAACACTGGCAAGAAGCTGAACTACAATCCCAAAGGCATGTGGTTCGAGGCTATGAGCTGCTCTATGGAAGAAGGATGGGCAATCTCCTCCCACGTGATCAACTGCCTCTGAAAACTTACTGGAGGGTCGGCTACGTGTTGGTTCTGACTCTATGGTGCACAATAACTACTAACACTTGACACTGTAGTTAAAATAAATGGTACTGTGGTTGTTATGTGCCATTGAGTTGGCTACGACTCATAGCCTATGTTTACAAAGAAAATATTCTTTTGTCCTCTGGAAAGCTCCAGTGAAGAGAAGTAGATGAGATGAAGTTATAGTTTTTGTAAGCATAGATCAGATATAAGGGCCTTTGGATGACAGCTAAGGAGTCTGAATTACTATTATAAGGACACTGGGAAATTAGAGCATGATCAGATTTGTATTTTAGAAAAGGGTGCATGGTGGAAAATGGATTGGAGGGTGCCCAAGAAGGCATGAAGGAAATAAAAGGACTCATATGATAATATACCTGTAGCTGACAAAAGGACAGAACATGATGAGCTAACTGACATGTACAGTGGTCAAAGCAATAGAATAAATGAAGGAAAACATCCAGTTATTTGATGCAAATATTTAAGTAGCAGATAGGGAGCATGAGGATTACTGTTAGTTACACCCTCTGGGGTGTATGGTTTTTTCTGAATATGTAGATTTGGATGTACCACTGTCCAATAGTACATCTGGAGTTGACTCATCAGTCTCCTTCTCTCTAGAGCGTCTCTCTCCTCAACCTTCAGGCTTAAATATCCAGATGACAGTCAGATAATTCCACTAAGATGTGTAATAAACACATGACGTCTCATAACTGAGCCTATCATTTCCATGTAATCCTGTACTGTAATCCCCATACCTCCTTCTACCACTAGGCTCCTCTCCCCTCCTCAAGCCCACGGGATGGGACTCCAACATCTTGCTTGGGCATCTGTAGTAACCTGATTAATACTCGATTCATTTTTTGCACTAACTCCAGTAGAATTATGGTTTCCTACTCAAGTGAGCTCCAACAACCTGGACATAGGAGGAAAATATAAACCATAGTTTATCTCAGAGATAAAGTCAACAGTTGATGGATCAGAGTCCAGAACTGAATGAAGAAAAGTTACTTGACTTAGAAAAAGAAACACTGACTTTCTCTCTCCATAGTAATTAAAATATAGCAGTAATGGCTGTGTACTACCCAATGGCTGTGGGCTTCAACATGGACCACAACATGAATTCAACAGCTTCTTGCCAAGGCCATGAACAAGCTCAGGCACAGCTGCTGTTGGTGCCTCACCAAGAACTTCAAGTTCATGTGGAGTATGATCTGGGAAGTGTGTAGCTCTGCACCTTATGAGTAATGCTTCAAAGGCCTGCTCAGGGGTCACCAAGGACAAGTAGGCTTCAAGTTTATCAAGGAAATTATGATGATACACATCCACTCCAACAGGAAATAAGAGAATCTCTGAATAATGTTGATACACATCCATTCCAAGAGGAAATAAGAGAATCTCTGAGTAATGTTCTGGCCTTTATAAGAAAGTAAGCCTCCAAAGATTGTGTTCCTGTTTCTGTCTGCTCTTATTTCCTCCCCCTAAGTAATATAACAAAACCTAGCCACACATCCCCTCCACAAAAAGTAAAATGCTATTAACACGGTTTCAATATGGTAGAGTGCTATGGAGGGACATTGATGAGTGGTGAATAGATGCCTTTGAGTTGTAGTGTTGGAGAAGAGTATTGAACACCTCATGGACTGCTAAAATAACACTTTGTAGTCAGAGTGCCCCCTGGAAGCAAAGATGACAGTTCTGGCTAACATACTTTGGGCATACTGTTAGGAGGGGCTATTCTTTGGGGGACATGATGCTTGGAAAAGTGCAGGGCTGGCTAAAGAAAGGAAGACCCTTAACTAGAGGGACCATCACAGTGACCACTACAATGGGCTTGAGTGTGTCAGAGACTGTGAGGATGGCACAGCATAGGGCAGGATTCAGACTGGTTGTGCATAAGATTGCTATGAGTCACACTCAAATTGACAGCACCTAACAACAACAGCAAGTGGAGGAGAGATGGTAGAGGCTGGCTGAAGACACAGATGTTCAGTTTCATGTAGCTAGAGTATCCCTATTTTGGAGATAGAGATAAGGAACTGTGATTTCTGGACCCTCCTAGCCACTAAGTTCTTTCAACTCACCCCTCCTGCTCCCTAATCCTTGCTCACCAAACATCTGACTTTTCATGCAGATCAGCCTACAGAGCAGGAGGCACTAAAGAGTAAATATGGCTATTCCATCCATTTCACAAGATCAGTTACCGTTCTCCATGATTAAACTGGCACTTGGCTTGTGAGTGAGGGGGAGTTTCTGTGAACTTGAAACCACATGCCCTTAGGTCTGAGAGATAGAGTCATGAGTGAAGAGAAATGCAAAAAAATTCAGTACCTGATATGGCAATCTTATTTTACTTTTCTATTATAAAAATGATGTGTATTCATTATTTCTTTCCCTTTTCCACTTTGTTTTAAAAACAGTTGTAATTCCAAACATCTCAAAGCCACTAATACTGTCAGGATGTTTCCTTCCAATTTCTTTTCTGTGCACACAGAAATAATATTTAGCAGCAATTGCCCTTTTCTCTTTTTAAAAAAAATAAGAATGCAGAATAGATTCACAATTCTAAATAAAAAAATTCTTCATCAGCTGTGTGGGGAAAGATTTTGACTGCTTCCTCCATTAAAAAGAAAAAAAGAAAAGGATGCCTGAATAATGGAAGTGAAATTACCTCTTTGTGTAATATGACCAAGGAAGAAGTTTCCACTACATTGATCTTATCAAGACTCATGAATATCAAGAGCAAGTCAATAAAGCTTTTGTGAAAACTGGAGATTAACTTTCCACACCACAAGTACCCAAACAGACATAAGCTAGTGCTTTCTCCTAAGTGCAAATGGCCACCTGGAGCAAGAATATATGTGAGTGTCCAGACCTAGATGATAGAGTAGTCAAGACAGATTTATTAGAAAGTTATATCCTTAAAGGGATGACCTCCTCCCTTCTTGAAAGGAAATGTGGAGAGGAGGCCCAATGATGTCATTCTAATTCTATATTTGTAAGATAGTCTCTATACATAAAAATTCTGTTCTCAATAGTGATTACCCTGAAATACAGATGATACAAGAAAGTAAGAATAAACATTTTACTTTTTCCCTTTTATTGAAAAAATTTAAGAGTAAGAAAGTGATTAAGTGTTTAGTAAAAAGCAATCAATATAGTTTTTCCACACTTTGGCTTTGCTAAAATTTGGGCATCTCACAACAATGCAAAAAAAAAAAAAAAAAAAAAAAAAAAAAGTCCAGTCATACTGTCTTGACTCTAAACTTATGATCGCCTGGACTTGTGGCCGACACGCCATAGAACCTTACTTCATTCTCTGATGAGCTTGCAGAGAGGAGCACCTCTTGGGCGTCAAAGAACTCAGAGACAGACTCTGACATGGAGAGGCGGCTCTCATTGGCTACTTGCTGTGACAGGGGGAGATTTACGTGGATTTGCTCACCAGCCTAGAGAAGAGAAAAGCACACGGTTAAACTGTGTTCCCTTGTTAGAACAGCTGGTTTTCTTCTGCATAAGGCCAGATATCTAGAGACATTCATACTGTAAGCTGGAAGAGTAGTGAGCAGAAATCCCACGTGAGATTCAATAACAACTGATAAGTAAATCTCCTTCCAATGTGAAAAGTCTAAAGAACCAATGAGGGAGAGCTGAAAGACACAGGGACTATAGTTTGATTATAAATTTATGTTCAGTTGACATTAAGTATAATTTAATAGGCTGAACCTTTATCAATACACTAAACTCTGCACTGAAGTTCACTATCTTACTCTTCTCCTGTCATTACTATTCACAGTCTAGAATATTTGTAGAAACTAGCACAGGTTGCTAATATAAACAATTTACAATGCTAAGTTCTGAGACAGAACATTAAAAAAGTCATTGTCAAATTTGATCAAGAATTTGAACTAATGAAATCTATGACCAGCATACTAAACTTCACTTGAAATTGCATTTTTATTTAAAAAGTGTCAAGCATTGTTTTCAAGACATCTTTTCAAATTTCACTTAGAAAAGCATATAAGAGAGCTATGCTTCATGCATCTTACAAGTTGAAATGAGCACTCCAAGTGAGATTATTATAAACAATGTCAATGATAACACTTTATAAGTACTTCTAACACACTGAGGCATAATTATCATGACAGATCACAGCACTCATACAGGTGAAAAGCCATTAATGTGGGCAACTGAAATGGAAAGACTCTCTTGAGATGCTTCCCAAGAAGCTAATGGGTAGAATTCCTTGACCCTGAGGATTTTCCGCTGCAAATATGGCTTTCGTATTTGGTCAAACTCTCTCCTTCTTTACATGTATCACCACACTCTAGATAGTTCTAATGTTACTAATGAAAAGCGTAAATTTTTACAGATATAAAAAAACAGCTCTATAAGAAATAATAAGCAAAATAACACATTTAACATTTACTAACTTTCTGGACCAAAGCTGAATTTTCTCCTATACCATTATTATAAAAAATGGAAATCAGAATTATAATAGCATCTACCTCACAGGGTCACTGAGAGTATTACTGAGACAATGCATGGCAAGTGTTCAGTAAAACAGTGAGCACATAGTAAGCACTTACCAGAAAACTGTTAGGACTAATTATTATTATCAGTAGTAGCTGCAGCAGCACCATTAGTATTATCTTTAGCAAGGTCAGGTGCCTTGTCTTCGTTAATAATTGTTAGGTACTTTTACGGCGGAACTGACTCACAGCTGAGCCTCCAGCGAGTTTTCAAAGGCAGTAAATCCAAAGGGAGGAGACTGTTCACTTTCTCTCATGCAACAGCTGGTTAATAGGAGCTGTGTGCTTTGGACTGGCAGTGCAACTCTTTAGCACGAATCTAAACCCTCTAGAGCTTCCTTTTCTAGGGAGGGCTTTCAAAAGAAACTTTTAAAAAAATTTTATTTTTATGTGTGTGTGTGTGTGTGTGTGTGTACCATCAATCTGACTGGTACAGGAGGTGATTGTCCCTCTTTCTCCAGCAGAGCATCTGGTGGAGTCGAACCGCTCACCTCTGGGATTGTAGTGTGGCTTCTTACCACTAGGCCACCAGAGCTTGCCTCAAAAGAAAACTTTTAAAGAAAAATTTTACTCAGTACTGTCTCAACTAAAGTTATTTTTTTCCAACATTTCATTATATATGATGATACAGGATACTAATCATCTTTCTCCCGCAGAGTAACTGGTGGATTTGAAGTGCCTTTGGGTTGGCAGTGAAATTCCTTACCACGAAGCCACCAGTGTTCATCATACATTATAGGGAGGTTTGGTGGCCTCATCATAAGAGGCTGCGCTATAATCCTGAAGACATGTGGTTTGAATCCACCAGTGGCTCCATGGGAGAAAGATGGGCAATCTCCTCCCATGCAAAATACTGCCTCTGAAAACCAGGTGGAGGGTTGGTTCTGACTTGATGGTACACAACAATAACTACAATAGATATACACATATTCCTCAAGAATAAATGATGCCAAGCTAATGGACAATCTTTAAAGAATTCTGAGCTGTCACTAACACAAATATTTATGGGAGGAATCTTATCAACAGGGACAGAATTGTCACAGAATTAAAAAGAATTAAAAAGAAGCAAAAATGTACAGTATATTTAGAGGCAGCAAAATAAGTACTTTACAACTAATCAGCATGGGTCTTACCTCGTCAGGGCTGGGAATAATATTTACACTGACAACCTGCTCACAAATTATTGACTCTGAGTGTATTCTGTTCAAGCGACTCCTTAGTTCAGCATTCTGGTTGAGCGCCTTAAAGTAACAAAAGTTGCACATGTAATTTCAAATTAGTCAGCAAGCATAAAACAGAACAAGTACGGGGTACAACACAGACAACAAACTTGTTCAGGTTTGTAGCTGTAACTTCTGGTGCTACCCTGGGTCAGATCTTACTGGTAAGAAGGAAATGAATGACTAGAATTAAGTTATTTGAAATTTCTAATAAGACTTACTTTAAAGTAGAGAAGGCTGAAAGAGTATACATATTTTATAAGAATGATTCTTTTAATTGTTTTGTCTCCTAGATTCTAGCCCATTACATCCAAGCTTAGTCTACTACCACACAGATACTACTTTTATGTATCTCTATTAGACAAGACGCTGTTGGTTCCTTCAATTTCTACCTCTGATTTCTAAAGCTTGGGAATTGTTTCAAAGCGAGATAGCTACCTTAAAAATTTACTTTGTGACAACAATGTATTAGAATTTTGTAAATAAACTAGTAGAAAAAATTTACTTGGAAATACAGAAAGCAATGAACTAACTAGTTTTTAGTTTATGTAAATATAGTCTGGTGAAAGAACTGTATTTTCATGTCCGAGGAGCACATGATTAATATGCATGACGGCAGCAGAACTAACTTAAATTCAGGTCAAAAGGTGCCTTCACTCCACATTATAGATACAGACAATAACACATAAAACGGAAGTAAATGGACTCCAGGTTTACTTCACACTGCTGCCAACATGCTCACTGTCAGCGAAACATTGCATGCTACAACAGAGTTTAGTAGGTGCAGTAACTGCAACTATTGCAGTTAGAGAAGAGCTTTACGTAAACATGGTCCCTCTGCTCTGTAGACAAAAGCACTGTGAATTCTTGGGGCAGACATGTTTTTGTCAATAAGTGTTCCACACATACAAAGATTTCACTAAGCTTAGTGATATCAGGTTTGTCCAGAAGTGAGGTAAAGGAGAAGGGGAATAAAACATGTAACTGTAGATCTTATTTTAGATGCTGGTACAATTATGTAAAAGTATTTTTTTAAGATCCTGTAGGAACCTGGAAAGGCAGGGTAATGATGGCCATAGTTCAGTGGTGATTAATTTATAAAACATAATGAATGGATGATTGTATGAACACAATGTGAATGAAGGATAGAGTGAAACACAAGGTGAATGAAAGATAGAGTGAAACACAATGTATATAAACTTTGTGAGGAAACCAATATAAAATAAAAAAACCCCATAAAGAATGGGAATGATTGTATGAAACACCATGTGAATGAAGGATAGTATGAAACACACTATATATGAACTTTGTAAAATAAAAACAACCAAAAACCAAAACCCAAAAAAACAACCCTAATATAAAATAAAATAAAAAAATAAAATAAGAATTTTTTTTTAAAGGGGCAGATGACCAGTTTGTAAAATGTCAGGTTACCCACTTGTTCTGATACTCTGTCAAGGACTGGTACTGATAAGAACACTGTGCCTACTGTCACAAAATGTGGGGACTGAAAAGGATACAAATCCGACAATCAGAGAAAATTCAGTGTTGGGGGGAAAGGTGTGTTTAGTAAGTAAACCATTTGTTTTAACAGCAGAAAACTATTATCATCACATTTTGAAAGAGTGTCAGGGACATTTTTCCTGAAGCAAAATGTCAAAGAGTAGGAAGGAAAAAAATAAAGCAAACCTGCCTTACTTAGATCCTATGTGACTATAACATTTGTTGTTATATGCTGTCAAGTCGCCTTTGACCCATAGTGACCCTGTGTACAACAGCTCTGATGCCTGCCCTCAGAGCTATCCTGAGCCAGTCTCACTGACTCTGACACACATAAACCTAAGAATTATAATAGATAGGTTTACTTTTTTGTCTCTGTGATTTCTTTGCCACAAATACACTGAGATTGGTCTTATTTGTTGAAACCTGATATATTTTTGCTGCCTTGTTTGTAATGGAAGCTCTGGTGGTCTCAAGGCAAGAAGCTGTGCTACAATCCCGAAGGCATGTGGTTCGAGGCCACTAGCTGCTCTGCTGGAGAAGGGTGAGCAATCTCCTCGTGTGCTATTAACTGCCTCTGAAAACCCACTAGTGGGTCAGCTATGGGTCAGTTCTGACCTGATGGCAAACAATAAATGTAACTAGAAGGCTGGTGTTCTAATTCACCAGTCACTCTGCAGGAGACAAGACCTAGTGATCTGCCCTTACTAAGATGTCTGGCCTTATTTTAAAGAGGAATGAGTTAAACTTAAAAGGAATAATCTTATTTATAATATTAATGCAGTGGTCGAGTAAAAGTTCTTACTTAAGAGCAGGGGAAATATATTGTTCCAATTCCGGCCATTCCAATGTTGGAACCTTTGCAGGCAGCTAAGCATGCAAGAATCCATTTCTGCAGGTCTTTCCAGAGTTGGCACCTCCTTTTGCCTTGTTTACATGCCTTGTTTAAAGTGTCTTAGTTTTGTGGTGTTGCTGGCGGGTAGTGCTCAGAACCACATTAAATATTTCTATCCCTGAAACTCAACTCCCCCTACCCTCCATCAATATAATGATATCATGGAAACCTTGGGCACACTGAGGAATATATTAATTTTGTGTGAAACAATGCTTTAAAAGACCTGGAAGCTGGCAGAACCACCAAGGTAAGGCGTTCCAGGAAAGTAAGCAGAGTCAGGCAAGGAAAAAGGAGGCAGGTCCCCAAACTCTCAGATCAGCTTGTGTGCAAGAAAACGATGAAGACTTGTCAGTAACAACACTGCTGTGGACTGCATAAAGGAGCCCCAGTGGCACAATGGTCAGACCTGTGGCTGCTGAATAGAAGGCCAGTGGTTCACATCCCTGCTGGTTCCACAGGAGCCGGATGTGACAGTCTTGCTTCTGTCAGACTACACACAGCCTTGGAAACCCTATGAGGTCTTCAGCTCTGTGCTAGGGGGCTACTCTGAGTCCAGTCAACTTGAAGAGAGTGGGTATTATGCAGTTGCATATGGGGCCAAAGATCTGCCACAGAGGAAGTAGCTTGATGCCTAGACTCTTCATTATGCAGATTCTATGCTTCTTCTCATTGCTTGCTCATGTCTGTTGTTGTTATGTGCCATCGAGTCGTTTGCGACTCATAGTGACCCTATGTACAACAGCCCTAAACTCTGCTCTATCCTGTGCCATTTGCACTGCTTCTGACACACCCATCCTGATTACCCCAGTGACTGAATCAAGCCACCTCATAGAGGGTCTTCCCCTCCTGCACTGTCCCTCCACCCTCCCAAGCATGATGTCCCTCTCCAAGGACCTGTCCCTCCTTACAACATGTCCAAAGTATGTCATACAAAGCCCCAAAATCCTTGCTTCCAAGGAGCAGCCTGGCTTAACCCTCTCCAGAGTGAATCTGTTTGTTTTCTTGGCAGTCCATGGTACATTAAATACTGTTCTCCAGCACCACAGCTCAAAGGCATCAATTCTCCTTCTATCCTCCCTAGTCATTGTCCAACTCTCTGATGTATAACAAATGATTGCAAAGACCATGGCCTGTATCAGACACACCTTAGTCTCCAAAGACACACCGTTGCTCTTGAGTACTTTAGAGAGGTCCCTAACAGCAGACTTTCCCATCGCAATACGTTTTTTAATTTCCTGGCTGCTGGTGCCAAGAGTGTTGACCGTGGAGCTGAGCAAACTCAGTACTCAGACTAAAAGTCCACACTAAATGCTCATCTCCCTGCACCTGGTGCTCCTTAACTGGACTCCTGGTGATTATGTGTTTGAATGCTAACTAAAAGGTTGACAGTTCAACTCACCAGCTAAAAGACCTGAAAATCTACTTCTTTTAAGATTGGATATTCTATGGGTCAATTTTACTGTGTCCTTTACAGATTTGTTAGGAGTTAGGACTGACTCCACAGGAATGAGGTGGATTTTTAAATTAGAATATACTTGGAAAATACAAAAAGGAGAACATTAAAATTTCATGCCTTACTATCCAATCAGCCATCTTTAGGTATGTCAGTATATTTGAGTATATCTTCCTCCTTGCATTTAAAAAAAAATTGTGCTTTTAGTCAAAGTTTACAGAAAAGATGGGTTTTCATTCATTGATATACATTTTCCTCCCTCCTCCCCAATTCACTTTGTCACCCATGTTTTGTTCCAGATTAACTGTCATACATAAAATGTCTAATCATCCATTCCTTTCTGATAGTTCTTCCCGTCTCCTATTTCAATGCAGAGTTCATTATTTATCCATTGTTTTCCTGCTCTCCTCTCCTCTGTGTCCATACTATTTTTATAACAGCAGTCTTATGCACTATTTGTCCTTTTGTGACTGAGATATTTCACTAAGCATAATGTCTTCCAGTTGGAAGCAGGAGTGGTATCCACTTCCTAAACAACATGCCTCTGGAAACTCTGTGAACTCTGAGAAACAATGATAGTTATAGAAAGGCTTCAGGTCTTTTGTTCATAGGGTTACTATGAGTCAATCGACTTGATGGAAATCAACACAATGTCTTCCAGACTCATCCATGTTGTATAGTGTTTTATAAGTTTGTTGTTTTTCAGTTCTGTGTAATATTCCACCATGTGGACAAACCACAGCTTTTCTAGCCATTCATTTTTTAATGGGCACTTGGGCTGCTTTTATTTCTTTGCTATTGTGAATAATGCTGCAGTAAACATGGATGTTCACTCCCTTGCTTTTTATCATATTGTTTAATGGGTGACATAACTGACATCCTGTGTCTGCTATTTAATCTTTTCACTTAAGCATTCTATTTAATGTTGAAGACTCTTCATAAATAAGATTTTAATAACTGAAGAATAGATAATCACCTCTCATTACTAGATATTTATGCTGCTATGAAATTTTAACAACATAAACTATGCTGCCATGAATATTTCTCTTCTGCAGTCAGCACTGTTTCCTTCCTACTCAGGACCAGTTAAGGACCTACAGGACCAAAGGATTAAAAAAAATTTAAGGCTTTGACATAAAAAGAACCAAATTATGTGTGAAACTACATCAATTT